GCTGTACCAGTGTATTATACAGCAGCACTACCAGCAGTACCAGTGTATTATACAACACTACCAGCTGTACCAGTGTATTATACAACAACACTACCAGCTGTACCAGTGTATTATACAACACTACCAGCTGTACCAGTGTATTATACAGCAGCACTACCAGCTGTACCAGTGTATTATACAACACTACCAGCTGCACCAGTGTATTATACAACACTACCAGCTGTACCAGTGTATTATACAACACTACCAGCTGCACCAGTGTATTATACAACACTACCAGCTGCACCAGTGTATTATACAACAACACTACCAGCTGTACCAGTGTATTATACAACACTACCCACTATACCAGTGTATTAAAACAACAACACTACCAGCTGTACCAGTGTATTATACAGCACACTACCAGCTGTACCAGTGTATTATACAACAACACTACCAGCTGTACCAGTGTATTATACAACACTACCAGCTGTACCAGTGTATTATACAACACTACCAGCTGCACCAGTGTATTATACAACAACACTACCAGCTGTACCAGTGTATTATACAATAACACTACCAGCTGTACCAGTGTATTATACAACAACACTACCAGCTGTACCAGTGTATTATACAACAACACTACCAGCTGTACCAGTGTATTATACAACAACACTACCAGCTGTACCAGTGTATTATACAACAACACTACCAGCTGTACCAGTGTATTATACAACAACACTACCAGCTGTACCAGTGTATTATACAACAACACTACCAGCTGTACCAGTGTATTATACAACAACACTACCAGCAGTACCAGTGTATTATACAACACTACCAGCAGTACCAGTGTATTATACAACAACACTACCAGCAGTACCAGTGTATTATACAACACTACCAGCAGTACCAGTGTATTATACAACAACACTACCAGCTGTACCAGTGTATTATACAACAACACTACCAGCAGTACCAGTGTATTATACAACACTACCAGCTGTACCAGAGTATTATACAACAACACTACCAGCTGTACCAGTGTATTATACAACACTACCAGCTGTACCAGTGTATTATACAACACTACCAGCTGCACCAGTGTATTATACAACACTACCAGCTGTACCAGTGTATTATACAGCACTACCAGCTGTACCAGTGTATTATACAACACTACCAGCTGCACCAGTGTATTATACAACACTACCAGCTGTACCAGTGTATTATACCCCACTCCACAAAGGGGGCAGTAAAGCAACAGCAAAGAACTACAGACCAATAGCACTAACATCCCACATCATAAAAATCTTTGAAAGGGTCCTAAGAAGCAAGATCACCACCCATCTAGAAACCCATCAGTTACACAACCCAGGGCAACATGGGTTTAGAACAGGTCGCTCCTGTCTGTCTCAACTACTGGATCACTACGACAAGGTCCTAAATGCACTAGAAGACAAAAAGAATGCAGATGTAATATATACAGACTTTGCAAAAGCCTTCGACAAGTGTGACCATGGCGTAATAGCGCACAAAATGCGCGCTAAAGGAATAACAGGAAAAGTCGGTCGATGGATCTATAATTTCCTCACTAACAGAACACAGAGAGTAGTCGTCAACAGAGTAAAGTCCGAGGCACCTACGGTGAAAAGCTCTGTTCCACAAGGCACAGTACTCGACTCCCATCTTGTTCCTCATCCTCATATCCGACATAGACAAGATGTCACCACAGCACCGTGTCTTCCTTTGCAGATGACACCCGAATCTGCATGACAGTGTCTTCCATTGCAGACACTGCAAAGCTCCAGGCGGACATCAACCAAATCTTTCAGTGGCTGCAGAAAACAATGTGAAGTTCAACGATGAGAAATTTCAATTACTCAGATATGGTAAACATGAGGAAATTAAATCTTCATCAGAGTACAAAACAAATTCTGGCCACAAAATAGAGCGAAACACCAACGTCAAAGACCTGGGAGTGATTATGTCGGAGGATCTCACCTTCAAGGACCATAACATTGTATCAATCGCATCTGCTAGAAAAATGACAGGATGGATAATGAGAACCTTCAAAACTAGGGAGGCCAAGCCCATGATGACACTCTTCAGGTCACTTGTTCTATCTAGGCTGGAATATTGCTGCACTCTAACAGCACCTTTCAAGGCAGGTGAAATTGCTGACCTAGAAAATGTACAGGGAACCTTCACGGCGCGCATAACGGAGATAAAACACCTCAATTACTGGGAGCGCTTGAGGTTTCTAAACCTGTATTCCCTGGAACGCAGGAGGGAGAGATACATGATTATATACACCTGGAAAATCCTAGAGGGACTAGTACCGAACTTGCACACGAAAATCACTCACTACGAAAGCAAAAGACTTGGCAGACGATGCACCATCCCCCCAATGAAAAGCAGGGGTGTCACTAGCACGTTAAGAGACCATACAATAAGTGTCAGGGGCCCGAGACTGTTCAACTGCCTCCCAGCATACATAAGGGGGATTACCAATAGACTCCTGCCTCCGCTACATCATTTTCTAGGCTATTCCACTTCTTGACAAGTCTATGACTGAAGAATACTTCCTAACATCCCTGTGATTCATCTGTGTCTTCAACTTCCAACTGTGTCCCCTTGTTATTGTGTCCAGTCTCTGGAACATCCTGTCTTTGTCCACCTTGTCAATTCCTCTCAGTATTTTGTATGTCGTTATCATGTCCCTCCTATCTCTCCTGTCCTCCAGTGTCGTCAGGTTGATTTCCCATAACCTCTCCTCGTAGGACATACCTCTTAGCTCTGGGACTAGTCTTGTTGCAAACCTTTGCACTTTCTCTAGTTTCTTCACGTGCTTGGCTAGGTGTGGGTTCCAAACTGGTGCCGCATACTCCAATATGGGCCTAACGTACACGGTGTACAGGGTCCTGAACGATTCCTTATTAAGATGTCGGAATGCTGTTCTGAGGTTTGCTAGGCGCCCATATGCTGCAGCAGTTATTTGGTTGATGTGCGCTTCAGGAGATATGTTCGTTGTTATACTCACCCCAAGATCCTTTTCGTTGAGTCTGGATGTAGAGACAATGTTTATATATATATATATATATATATATATATATATATATATATATATATATATATATATATATATATATATATATATATTACACTCATGAGAAGTGGTAAACCTGTATGGGTGTCGTACAGTGCCCTGGGGAGGGGGAGGGGGGAGGCCTTCTGGCTCGATTCGAGGCAGGAGATGTCAGATCCAGCTCCCTTGGATCAAGAACCCACCAAAATCCCTCTCAGCTGTGGATTTTAACACATTTCACCAATTAACTACAAAAATATAGCACCAGATAGGCCTATCTAAATTTTATATTTGGGAGGAATAAAAATCAACTTTGATAATAAATTTGATACATGTGATACAAAATATATAAAAACTATAAGAATGGAGGAACACTGCAGAAGGCCTACTGGCCCATACAAGGCAGGTCCTTATTATTGTATTGGTCAGACAATTGTTACTGAGACGTCAGGGTTATGCAGGAACTGGGGAACAATGCAACAGATAGACTTCAAACTATGTATATACACAGGGAGAAGACTGAATATAGAGTAAATATAGGATGGTAGAGAGGACCAGGCTAAAATAATTAGATGCAAATTATAATCCCTAGTTAAACGTAAGTTGTATATACTGGGAGGTGTGTATCTCCCAGTGTATGTTACTGGGAGGTGTGTATCTCCCAGTGTATGTTACTGGGAGGTGTGTATCTCCCAGTGTATGTTACTGGGAGGTGTGTATCTCCCAGTGTATGTTACTGGGAGGTGTGTATCTCCCAGTGTATGTTACTGGGAGGTGTGTATCTCCCAGTGTGTTACTGGGAGGTGTGTATCTCCCAGTGTATGTTACTGGGAGGTGTGTATCTCCAAGTGTATGTTACTGGGAGGTATATATCTCCCAGTGTATGTTACTGGGAGGTGTGTATCTCCCAGTGTATGTTACTGGGAGGTGTGTATCTCCCAGTGTATGTTACTGGGAGGTATATATCTCCCAGTGTATGTTACTGAGAGGTATATATCTCCCAGTGTATGTTACTGGGAGGTATATATCTCCCAGTGTATGTTACTGGGAGGTATATATCTCCCAGTGTATGTTACTGGGAGGTGTGTATCTCCCAGTGTATGTTACTGAGAGGTGTGTATCTCCCAGTGTATGTTACTAGGAGGTGTATATCTCCCAGTGTATGTTACTGGGAGGTGTATATCTCCCAGTGTATGTTGCTGGGAGGTGTGTATCTCCCAGTGTATGTTGCTGGGAGGTGTGTATCTCCCAGTGTATGTTACTGGGAGGTATATATCTCCCAGTGTATGTTGCTGGGAGGTGTGTATCTCCCAGTGTATGTTACTGGGAGGTGTGTATCTCCCAGTGTATGTTACTGGGAGGTATATATTTCCCAGTGTATGTTACTGGGAGGTGTGTATCTCCAAGTGTATGTTACTGGGAGGTGTGTATCTCCCAGTGTATGTTACTGGGAGGTGTGTATCTCCCAGTGTATGTTACTAGGAGGTGTATATCTCCCAGTGTATGTTACTGGGAGGTGTATATCTCCCAGTGTATGTTACTGGGAGGTATATATCTCCCAGTGTATGTTACTGGGAGGTGTATATCTCCCAGTGTATGTTACTGGGAGGTGTGTATCTCCCAGTGTATGTTACTGGGAGGTGTGTATCTCCCAGTGTATGTTACTAGGAGGTGTATATCTCCCAGTGTATGTTACTGGGAGGTGTATATCTCCCAGTGTATGTTGCTGGGAGGTGTGTATCTCCCAGTGTATGTTGCTGGGAGGTGTGTATCTCCCAGTGTATGTTACTGGGAGGTATATATCTCCCAGTGTATGTTGCTGGGAGGTGTGTATCTCCCAGTGTATGTTACTGGGAGGTGTGTATCTCCCAGTGTATGTTACTGGGAGGTGTGTATGTTACTGGGAGGTGTGTATCTCCCAGTGTATGTTACTGGGAGGTGTATATCTCCCAGTGTATGTTACTTGGAGGTGTATATCTCCCAGTGTATGTTACTGGGAGGTGTATATCTCCCAGTGTATGTTACTGGGAGGTGTATATATCCCAGTGTATGTTACTGGGAGGTGTATATCTCCCAGTGTATGTTACTGAGAGGTGTGTATCTCCCAGTGTGTGTTACTGGGAGGTGTATATCTCCCAGTGTATGATGCTGGGAGGTGTATATCTCCCAGTGTTTGTTACTTGGAGGTATATGTCCCCTAGTGTATGTTACTGGGAGGTATATTTCTCCCAGTGTATGTTACTGGGAGGTATATATCTCCCAGTGTATGTTACTGGGAGGTGTGTATCTCCCAGTGTATGTTACTGGGAGGTATATTTCTCCCAGTGTATGTTACTGGGAGGTGTGTATCTCCCAGTGTATGCTACTGGGAGGTGTATATCTCCCAGTGTATGTTACTAGGAGGTATATAGCTCCCAGGGTAAGTATGCTGAAAGATTAATTTAATCCCTATTACAGGAATTAAAGGAATCCTGTCTGGTGGTGAAAAACTGACATGTAACGTTAATGATCCTACTGTAGTAATCTCTGAAGGCCACAGAACGCGTCACAACACGTAACATTCGTGTAGGCTTTCCTCACAGCCTACTCCTAAACATTTTTGAAATATTAATTAATATTAATCACCAACAAGGTTAACATGTTTAATAATGTTGATCTGGTCACCACATTTGTCACCTTTCACATGGCGGCTGATTTACAACTTAAACAAGAATATTTTTAAAGTTCGACGTGTTCTGGGGGTAATTTAACAAAAAATTGATCTTTCTGCAATTCCTCAATCACATCGTGGTAGAAATGATCAGTTGAGAACACTAGATTATTTTTAATAAGTCGATTAAGTACCTTGGCTTCAACACGCGCTCTGTGCCACTGTTCCACCCAGAAACTTTTTGAATTTGGCTGGCCAGTTGATACACTTGGCGGTACAGGACAGCCATAATGGTCTAATGAAGCTCTAAGTTCTTTTTCTTTTGTCTTGGCACTCCTGATGAGTTGATCACAAACGTAGCACTCAAAATGTTCAATGAAATTCCCTTTTTCGAAGTCGTTATTGATGCCCCATTCTCTCTGACGAATGGAACTGGTAAGATTAATATTGGTGATTATCTGGTCTAGTTTGTGTTTTAAGTGAGAGTCATACAAAGTTTGGTTTTCTAACAGTTTATAGAGGTGTTTTGCCAAGTGTTTCGGGGATTCGAACTGGCTGATGAGAATTATAGAACCGGGGTTTGGTTCCCAGTCCTTGATAGAGGGAGAACCCCAGTATATAGGGATTGATCCAAGAGTCAAAGGCCTCCATAACTTTTCGGTTATGTAGTCATTACACGCGGCATTTTCTATGGCCAGGGTAAATCTGTATTTGGACATAATGGCTCGGAACTCAGGATGGTCGTAAGTAGCCGCCGGGTCGTGGAGATGACCTGGGAGGTCACGGTTGTGAAGACAGGAACCATAGGAGTCTATCTTGATATATTTAGCCAGTTCCTCCACGTAACTGTCTCTTTCTGACGGTGAATCACAGTCAGATTGAACATAAGCAACTGCAGCCAGACTTTCCTCCACCATAAGTCTGTTCTTGACTCCTGTTGGGACGAATTCATCCCTGGAGGTGAGGGACTCGACTGACTCCAGATGCTGTAGAGTCAGGGGAAAATTCGACTCCCTTCTGAAGGTAGCTGTCAGATTGAACAGCTCCAGAACGCTCTGGTGATCAAAAAGCGGCTGGTTTTTGGGAGATTCTTCATGAAGGAGGCCCCACCACAGGCGAGGTGACTGCCGTGGCAGAGGCAGGTCTTCCACGCTGAAGTCACTGCCATAAAAGAGCACAGCCTGGGCTCTTCCTTGCTGGAAATAGGTGCGGTCCTCAGTGAAGAAGCAGGTACCTAGGGAGCAGGTGCGAGCCTGGCCTTGGCCGGCCCCGGTAAATGGTGTCCACCAGAGGATGACGGTTCCTTTATCATCCCCGGCAGGGGGACCAGGAAGGAGACGATCCACATTATCCCCGGCAGGGGGACCAGGAGGGAGACGATCCACATTATCCCCGGCAGGAGGACCAGGAAGGGGACGATCCACATGATCCCCGGCAGGGGGACCAGGAGGGAGTCGACCCACATGATCCCCGGCAGGGGGACCAGGAGGGGGACGATCCACATGATCCCCGGCAGGGGGACCAGGAGGGAGACGATTCACATGATCCCCGGCAGGGGGACCAGGAGGGGGACGATCCACATCCACATCATCCCGGTTTTCGCGGTTTACATCGCTCTCCAGCGCTTCTACCGCAGCCACAACGATGACAAATATCAAGAAGACGAACCACTGAACCTCCATAGTCTCCTGACGAACGAAATATGCGAGATAATGGCAATTATAAGAGACGTCAGCGACGACATCTGCCGGGAGGGTGATCCAGAGAGGCTGACATATCTCACTCTCATTCACATATGTAACTTTTCCAACACTATTTTCCGGAGTCCACGAGGCAATAAGTTCTCTTACACCTCCGGATAACCCTCGAAATTCACCTAAAATACGGAAATAAGCGGGGAAAATTGTAAACGATGATAAACTCGACACCTCAGACGTGGACCAATCACGTGCCCCCGCGAAACCGCATTCACTCATAAAATAACCTACACTTCACACCTTTATTCCCCTTTATTAAACAATTTTAATCAACGTAACACACAAAACTATTTTCGGTAATTCAAATAAAAATAAACATTATAACAAATTCAAAGAAATAGGGGGGAAAATAGGGATAAATTAGATATTTTTACTGTGGTGTGAACGTGCGCTACGTGTCTGTGTGTTTACATGGAGGCTGCTGGACCCCCTCCACCTGGATAATTACTTATTTTGACGCTGTGAGAGCCTCACAGCTGCTGTGTGTAAGTGTAAGTGTAGCTAGGACACTTGTGTTGATGTTGTGAGAGTTTTGGCTCTTGTGTGTAATTGTAAGTGTAGATAATAACACTTATATTTGACACTTAAGTCTCGGCACTTGTGTGTAAGTGTAGACATGACACTTATGTTGGCACTTGTGGGAGGCTCATAGCACCTGTGTGTAAGTGTAAGTGTGGGTAAGACACTTATTTTGCTTGTTTTACATGTGTAAGTGTTAGGAAGGCACTTTTATTTTGACTCGTAACAGAATATCCCGGGCTCAATCCTGGGGTGGGTGGAGATAATAGGTATTGTTCCTAACACCTGTTGCACCTGCTTACCTGAGTGTTAGTTATGGGTGGCATCCTGGGGAGGGGGAGACATGTAGGTAAGTCTCCTAACACCTTCTGCTACTGATGTTCTAGCAGTAAATAGGTACCTGAGTGTTAGTTATGGGTGGCATCCTGGGGAGGGGGAGACATGTAGGTAAGTCTCCTAACACCTTCCGCTATTCACCTAGCAGTAAATACATACCTAGGTGTTAGGTGACTGTTGTGGGTGGCATCCTGGGGAGGGTAAGGGTAAGTCTCCTAACACCTGCTGCTACTGTTCACCTAGCCGTAGATGGCATTTAATTTACATTAACCCGGAGAGTTAGTACCCCAGGATAACTCACTGGGGTCCTTTGATCCACTTCCTCAGGATGTGACTCGCAGCAGTCGACTAACACCAGGTACCTATTTAATGCTAAATGAATAGGTGTAAGGAACCATACCAATGTATCCATTTTTCACCTGAGATGAGCCAAGGTCCTTCAAACATGGGATAGAGTAGCTTAATTTAATAGAGTCCACGACTCCAAACTGATGGGCTCAGGTTCAACCCCCCGACAAGCAGAAATGTTGAGCATTAGCCGACTCTTGTTGATAGCATCCTGGGGGTTAAAGAATCCCAGTGGAAGTAAGCCAGATAATCTGATGATAGTGGCTTTGTTGGGTTATCCTTGGTTAATAATCCAAATAAAATATTCTACCACTTGAGTCATAGTAAATAAATACCTGAGTGTTGTAATAACGTTGGTAGAATTACCGACAGTGTTTGGTAAATAAACATATGGGCAGCATCTCGGAAAAGTACCTAGGGATTGCTCTGGAAAAGTACCTTGGGATTGCACTTTAAAAGTACCTAGGGATCGCACCAGAAAAGTACCTAGGGATCGCACCAGAAAAGTACCTAGGGATCGCACCAGAAAAGTACCTAGGGATCGCACCAGAAAAGTACCTAGGGATCGCACCAGAAAAGTGCCTAGGGGTCGCACTGGGAAAAGTACCTAGGGATTGCACTGGAAAAGTCACATTACTTGGCTTTAGTTGGTTGAGTTGCCAGAGCAGTCATGGTGCACCCGGCACTCATCTGGTGAGTGGTAGAATAAAAAAAAAGCCAGATTAGAGAGGTTGTAATGGATTCTTTATCAGTCCCCACTAAGCGTAGTTATATCTGTAAATATGGATAAGTCTCAATTAGTGCAAATAATGAATCCTGTGGAGTGGTAGCATTATTTGTATTATATGTAATGTTTGCACACGATTTGATGAGTTGGGGAAAACTATCGTTAATTAATTTCATACCAAATTGAAATTCACACTATTCGAACTCGCATTAATTGAGACCTGGCTGTTAGCCTCTTCACATTTTGCAGTTTTGGATTAACCCACAGAGTTAATAGCCCAGTATAACTCATTGGGGTCTTTTGATCCTCTTCCCCAGGACGCGACCCATAACAGTCGACTAACGCATAAGAACGTAAGAAAGGAGAAATGCTGCAGTAGGCCTGTTGGCCCGTACTGGGCAGATCCTTCACAAATTCAACCCACTAACAGAATATTTGCCCAACAGATTTTCAACACTACACAAGCAATAAGCTTTGATAAATCTTTTTACTCATGTATAAGTCCCACTCATATCCAACTCCTCTCACTCATGTATTTATCCAACCTAAATTTGAAACTGCTGAAGGTTTTAGTTCCAGTAACCCTACTAGGCAGACTGCTCCATTCATCAACTACCCTATTTCCAAACTAGTATTTTCCTGTATCCTTTCGAAATCTAACCTTATCTAATTTGAATCCATTATTGCTGGTTCTTTCTTGGAGAGATATCCTCAAGACCTTATTTATATCCCATTTCTTAATACACGTACCCATCTTCCACTTGTACATTTCAATCACGTCTCCCCTCATTCTTAGTCTTACAAGTGAATATAATTTAAGGGACTTCAATCTTCATACAGAAGATTTCTAATGCTGTGTAACTTTGTCATTCTTCACTGAATGCTTTCTAAAGAATTTATATTTGTTCTGTAATATGGAGACCATATTACAGAACAGATTTAAATTCTGTTGTTTACACTTCTCGATATAAATCGTAGTAATTTGCAGCAGCTTCAGTTCTATCATGACTGATTTCACGTATTTTCTTGGCAACATTAGGTATACCTAATACTTCCCTAATATTTTGTATTGTGATAGTTATAGGACAGCCCAGAATCAATCTCAGGGCTTCATTTTGATTTTTCAAATCTCTCATTGGTTATGCAGTGGACCCCCGCCTTACGATCAGCTCCCAACTCGAACAATTATGTAAGTGTATTTTTGTAAGTGCTTTTGTATGTGTATTTTTGGGGGTATGAAATGGACTAATCTAATTTAGAATATTCCTTATGGGAACAAATTCATTCGGTAATGGCACCCGAACAGACTTCTGGAGTGAATTATTATCGTAAGAAGGGGGTCCACTGTACTGTGTAGCAGGACTAAAACAGATTCATGGTAATCTGTCAGCAATATTACGTACGGTGGTACCTCGGAATACGAACAGCTCAAAACTCGAATAATTATGGAAGTGCTTTTGCCATTGTATTTTTGGGTGTCTGAAACAGATTAATCTAATTTACATTATTCCTTATGGGAACAAATTTGTTCGGTACTAGAACAGCCTTCTGGAACAAAATAAATTCATATCCTGAGGTACCACTGTATATCATTCTGGCAATTCTGGCATTTGCTCCACAGTTGGGATTCTACCCTACAAGAATTCTGAGAGCTTTAACCCTTTCAGGGCCCCCAGGCCCTCTCCGAGACTTGTTCTCAGGGTCGCCCAAATTTTCAAAAAAAAGAAAATTATTTTTTCTTATGAAAAGATCATAATGACACCAAAAATATGAAATTTGATGGAAAACTTAGGGAATTATGCTCTCGTGAAGTTAGCGGTCTGGACGATGTTTACGCATTGGCGATTTTGCCGACTTTGAGCCCTATTTTCAGCCAATTCCAGTGTACTAGTCGACAAAAATCATAACTATTTCGCTAGAACTCCATTTTTTCTATCAAATGAGTACAAGAAACCACCCATTTACCGATTTCAACTATCCAATAAAGTGGTCAGAATTTAGCAATTTTGCCAATTTCACACAAATTTCAAAAGATGCCAATTTCCGAATAGGGTCCAGAATAAACAAGAAAGACATTCCTGTTCATTAGTCACATCCCCAGGCCCCTCTTATATTTCTTTGGCTTTCCACTTTGAATTTTTATTCTTACAAAAAATAGAAGATTTACTGTTATGCAGACTACTGCATTAGTGTAGAAATGGTATAAATAATATCAGCGCACTTGTGAAAGAATATTAGACTCGCCAGTTGATGTGTATTGGACGCTTGGCATGATTTGTTTATTTTTGAACTTTGGTAAAAATCGAACATTTCTGCTACTTTGAGCTCAATTTCAAGGTACTTTTCATTGTAAAACCAGTCAAAATCATCTGAATTTCTGTAATATGTCTTCCATTCTATAAAATGAGACCAAGAAAACTAGAATACAACAATAAATACCATACGAAAATACAGTGCAAAGTCGCTGTTTTAATAAAAAAAAACGGTCAAAGTTTTTTTTTTCTCATTACACACTGTGCTGCAGGATTTTTTTTTATACTGCGCACACTGACCACATAGACCCATTCTTTCATATGTAGGCCTACCAGCTTTCTCACTAGATTTGAGGGCGCTAGAATTTAGGCGTACTGGCACGTCAAAAACCCTGGTGCATTACCCGTACTAGTACGGCCGAAACCCTGAAAAGGTTAAGTATAGGCCATCACTGCTTACAGCATTTTACTAATGCAGTGATGTTCAGTTATGCATATTCTTCATTTATTCAGACTTTATACAATAAATATATATTCAGACTTATTTTTTATATTATTTATTAACACACTGGCCGATTCCCACCAAGGCAGGGTGACCCACCAAGGCAGGGTGGCCCACCAAGGCAGGGTGGCCCACCAAGGCAGGGTGGCCCACCAAGGCAGGGTGGCCCACCAAGGCAGGGTGGCCCACCAAGGCAGGGTGGTCCACCAAGGCAGGGTGACCCACCAAGGCAGGGTGGCCCGAAAAAGAAAAACTTTCACCATCATTCACTCCATCACTGTCTTGCCAGAAAGGTGCTTTACACTACAGTTTTTAAACTGCAACATTAACACCCCTCAAACTTTATACAGTAAATATATTCAGACTTTCTACAATAAATATGTTCACCACTCACTATAATCTATATGCATTTTTTAGGCTTAGCTCTATTGCTCACTTAACCCTTAAATGATCCAAACGTATATACAGTGGACCCCCGGTTAACGATATTTTTTCACTCCAGAAGTATGTTCAGGTGCCAGTACTGACAGAATTTGTTCCCATAAGGAATATTGTGAAGTAGATTAGTCCATTTCAGACCCCCAAACATACACGTACAAACGCACTTACATAAATACACTTACATAATTGGTCGCAGTGGGGGGTGATCGTTATGCGGGGGTCCACTGTATACGTTTTTTCAACATTTGAAAGCATGTAAAAAAATGTAGATCGTCTTTCTTGTTTTACATTTGAAAATGTGTAAAAAAAACTTTTATCTACTTTTTTTTTTTGTTGTATTTGAAAATATGTAAAAAAAAACGTATATCTACTTTTGGAGCACTACGGATATGAACGTTGATCTGTTTGGACCGTTTAAGGGTTAATATGTGATAGTGAAAACGTGTTATCAGATTTTTATATGTATTTTATATGCATTTACAGAGGTTTACGCTTTATAGCAGTAGCCCGGAATTTAACCTGCTGTATAAGCCGGGCCCTCCTGTATAGCAGTAGCCCGGAATTTAACCTGCTGTATAAGCCGGGCCCTTCTGTATAGCAGTAGCCAGAATTTAACCTGCTGTATAAGCCGGGCCCTCCTGTATAGCAGTAGCCCGGAATTTAACCTGCTGTATAAGCCGGGCCCTCCTGTATAGCAGTAGCCCGGAATTTAACCTGCTGTATAAGCCGGGCCCTTCTGTATAGCAGTAGCCAGAATTTAACCTGCTGTATAAGCCGGGCCCTCCTGTATAGCAGTAGCCCAGAATTTAACCTGCTGTATAAGCCGGGCCCTCCTGTGTAGCAGTAGCCCAGAGCCTAATCCACTGTACGTATAAGCAGAGTCGTCCTGTGTGTTACAGACACTCCTCACTTAACGACCTACCTGTTTAATGACTGCTCGGGCTTTCGGCCAGCTCTCCAACCAGTATACAAACTTAAGTAATGTATATTAGAGCTGATTTCCTCTATTCTGTTTATTACAATACACTAATGTATAAACATTTAAAAATATACTAAAAATGTTTTAAATGATTCTATGTCATCATTGAAGGCTCTTGGCTCATATAATGACTCCAACAACATGCTCATTGGGGAAGCCAGGTATAGATACTCAAAAATTAGGGACAAAGGAATTAATGTACAATTGCTATGGATCCCATCACACATTGGGTTACTCCTTCATGATAAAGTTGATATGTTAGCCAAGAAGAGTATCGAGAAGGAGAATGTAGAATATAACTTTGGTATAACTGTGTCTAGCATTAGGAATAATATTAGGAGAGAAGTAAATAATGAAAATGATTGTTATAGGAATGCAGTTAGAAGCCTGAGTAGATCTATAACCCACTATGATAACATGAACGTAGATAAGTATGTTTATGGAGCAACTTGCAATGTGAACAGACTGACTGATGTTGTAGTGGCCAGGCTTAGGCTTGGTTACAAGTACTGACTGATGTTGTAGTGGCCAGGCTTAGTCTTGGTTACAAGTACTTCTGGCAGTTTGGGAGACACACAGATGATGATCAAACTAAATGTAAATTATGTGATCAGGCATATGGTCACTCTCTTGAACACTATGTGCTTAATTGTCCACTTATTGAGGAATACAGAGACAGACAGTATAATAACCTATGTGACATGTTATTACAAAAAAAGTAATTTTTAAAAGAAGATGGTAAGATTTACTCCTTTTGTAATAAAGAGTTCGGGATATATAAATACACACATTAAAATAAATTAATCTTTAATCAACTATCTTTGGTCTAGAGGTATTTGAACTATGATATATAATATGTACACGTTACTATAATAAATTATAATTAGCATCTAACTAAAATAATAATTATTCGTGACCCTACACAGGGTACAACTTTCTTGACACTACTGTCACTATATATATATATCTCTATACTAAAATAATAAATTATAAATAACATTTGTATAATAAATTACAATCAACTGCTTCTCACGACACGAGGCCAGTCACATGACACTATTCAGTGTACACTACAACCAGGCCATCTTCAGTGTCCCACGACACCCTTTTCATCTCAGTGTTCCACTACGGTCCTGTGCATATCTCAGTGTTGCACTCCATCATACGTCCCTAAGTGTCACACTACGGTCCTGGCCCAGTTCAGTGTAACACTCCAACCTTTTCTTCATGTAATGTCCCACTAAACAGCATCTGACGATTCCGGCCCACAGTTGATCAACGTAGACGGTGAGTCCACAGACATCACCGGTAGTCCAGTAAATCCTCTCCAAAGCCGGTTGACACACCGCTAGCCGAACACCATGCTGCAAGCTCACTGAATGCGGCCGTCAAGTAACTGAGGCCAACAGACTCAGTGAGCTGCGGTGAGCGGTTCTTCTAACGCCAGTAGATAGGTACGATTAGGTGGTCAGGTACCTACTGCGTAGATGTGTACCCTGAGGAGTTCAGGTACTTAATGTTGCTGAAGCCAGTAGACGTGTACCCTTAGGTGTTCAGGTACCTACTGCTTAGGTGCTTAGGTATCCTGAGGCGCTCAGGTACATACTGTTACTAAAGCCAGTAGACTGTACCCTTAGGTGGTCAGGTACCTACTGCTTAGATGTGCACCGTGAGGCACTCAGGAACTTACTGTTCTAAGGCCGGCTCAGCAGTCCCCACATTGGGTTTGATGACGTACCCAGTGGTACTGCCGGCCGGCAGGTTAACTATTTAACCGCTAGTTTGGCAGGGGGCCGCAACACATGTCAAGATATCTTATTAATGAAAATAAGATACCAGATATACTAAGCAAATTTCCTAAATTTGCTTGTAACAGATAAGTGAACTATAGATATGTAGATATAAATCCATATGTATTCCTGTTAACCCTTTGGGGCCTAGTTCCTAGGCCTTTTGTGTATCCATATGCTCTCGCGCTACCGTCCACAGGATGGATATGGGGTGCACAATAAACTAGCCACTTCGGTGGCAAAATCTAAAAAACAAAAAATGGTGCAAAGATGACATTAAAGCATTATTTAAAGATGGTTGACACAAATCTACTACCAGTACAGTATGCTTCTCCCTTTTCGACTAATTCACTTAACAACCTAGTCGTAGGAACGAAACTTGGTCGTTAAGCGAGGAGTGCCTGTATTACACCGTTTGTTTTTAAATAATTCAGGCTTATACATCAGGGCTTCCATACTTACATCAAGAATACTTTACCAGAATAACTGGTGCTAATCTAATTAATTTTAGTCCTGCTTTATGTATTAACTCTACATGATTAATTTTCTCTCGTCTTTTGCAGTGGAGATGGACATATTGCTGCCGGTATTTCAGTTACTGTATTTTGTGGCACACTTCCTGGCCAGTCTTGCCCTCTCCGTCATAGACACGTTCCACGACCTTCACCATCTGCTGCTCCGCTTGTACTCTTTCTTCGTGCCTACTGCAATCCCCGCTTGTCGTCTGCAGGCCGATGCTGCTCAGCTGAAAAAGGTTCCGCAGCACTTGGGGTTGGTGTGCGTTGGCCAGCAGGCTCAACACATAGCTCAGTTGTCTACCGTCATCTCCTGGGCTGTTGGATACGGCATTCGCTTCATTTCTCTCTACGATGCTCATGGGACACTGAAACACAACCGGCCAGTGATTTTGAAGGCTCTCCAGAAGAATTCTTCTGATGCTGTGTATAATGTTTTGTCGTACGACCACAGTTGCAGTCCCGAGCGAGATGTGATAGCAGGAATGAGCATCAAAACAGACAGCGACTCGCCACCCCAGAACATAACTGTCAATCTCTTAAGTCTAGAAGATGGTAGAGGTAACCTGGCAAGTGCTGCCAAGATTTTATCCACTACAGGTTGCAAGATCACAATGTCATTAATCGAGTCGCACCTGGTAACACGGGGGCAACCCGACCCAGATGTCGTGATCACTATAGGAGATCCATTTGCTTCTTTAGCATTCCTTCCATGGCAAATTAGACTGAGCGAATTTTTTGTCGCACCCTCCTTAAGTCGATTTGAATATAGTGACTTCCAAACTATCCTTAAGAAATACTCCAGATGTGAACAAAGATTTGGAAAGTAGAAATTCTGTTGAATTGTGTTTTATGCGTATTGTACTTAAGAAAATAACTCAGGACATCTTGGAGATGTTGCCACAGTTCTGTATCTGCGACCTTCCATGCCAGTAGACTAATTGTTGATGTTTGTATGTAGTATTTATGTCGGGCAACGACTAGCAGTGGACTTAGTCGATCTCAATAGTCGCAGGTGCGCTCTGACAAAATGGGGCCTCGGGATATCTTCCTGGGTGTGTATTAGCATTCCATCCTGTACAAGTTCTCCTCAACTTACGATGGGGTTACGTTCTGACGAACCCATTTTAAGTCTCAAAATATCGTAGGTTGAATATGAATGTGATATGCCAGATAAATAAGTAAATAAATAACTACTGTCACTAAGTAAATAAATAATTACTATAATTAAATACCAGTATTGAAAAATATATGAATACAAGTTATGAATTTGCCGCCTTGATGCTGTGTAATTATTTTTAATTTCATCTCCAAAGTAATTGATTTTTGCACCGTCGAAAGTTGAACCATTGTAAGTCAAGGAGCATGTGTACATGTAGATTACTGGTATTTGGTTGTACCCAATGGCTGTACTGACTAACAGGCCATGTAAAAATAATTTGTGTGGTTCTCGTAGCCGAGAAAACAAGTGGTTACTGTTTGCACTGGACTTGCAGTTTTGTTTCATACTTTCCAGTAGTTAGAGAACTCGGTTCCTTTACCATTTTATGCAAGAATTGCGATGCAAAACAACCACAGGGGGAGTTGATAGCTATAGGCCTTTTGTGTTTTAATCAACACATCTGGAGCTTGCAATGTTTCAGAAATGAGTAATAAATCAAGCACATTCGTTCAACGGGACCTCTTACTCATTTGTGCAACACTGCAAGCTCCTGATGTGTTGATTGCAACACAAAAAGGCTAAGGCTATCATTCAGCTCCGCCCGTGGTTGGTTTGCATCCTTTACCATGGGTGCTCCTAACATTTATTTTAGCAAACTATCGTGCAGTCGTCCTAGAATCCGAGTCTTCCCACCGACACGATACAGCGCTAGCAACCTTGTGGGTTAAGAGAACATCCAGAGCAACAAGGTTACGATAACCACACTCTATTTTTGCCTCATGCCTGAGAGGTCAATTTCTCGGTGGGTTTACCATGTTGTAAACCACCCAAGATAAAAAAAAAGTATCGTGTGATAGTCTTTCAGATGTGTATGATAGTCCAGATAAATGTGTATTGTGGATAGTCTTACAGATGTGTATGTTAGTCTCACAGAAGTGTATGATAAGGGTGAGGAAGAGCGGTACAGTATTTTTGTACGTGTGATAACTCTTGATTTACTCGTGGATATAATGTCGATTCATTTAGTGGATAGAACATTGATCCACTTACCAGGTACGATCCACTTATTGTGTATCATGAACTTCTAAGTTCCATCTTGTTGAGCCACATTGGTTGGTATCGAGTATAATAGCACTGGGAATACAGGTAGTATTGCAGGTTTCTGCTCTCTGCACTTTTTTTTAGGTAAAAAGCTGTACAAACTTCTGTTTTGTTTCATGTAATGTGATCAAGAACAAATGTTACATTTTTTAACGCTTTTGTTGAATACACCTGACATACCATGTTATTGATTAGAATATAATAACTCTCTTGTAAAGCTCTATATACCATAGTTGCCAGCAGCAACATATACCTTTATACCTTTGAGGAGTTTCAAGAGTTTCTCTACTCTCTGAGCCCGGCCGTGGGCCAGGCTCGTCTGGTGCTTGCCTGGTCAACCAGGCAAGGTGCTAGTAACCCCTTCTCCTGTGCAAGTTGATAAATGTTAAAAGAAAAACTTGCGTTTTTTGTTTTAGGTCACCCTGCCTTGATGGGAGACGGCCAGTGCATTGAAAAACAAAATTACCGTAGTGTGATTTTTTTTGCTGATGCAATTGAAAAAGTTCATCCGTAATTGAACAGTATGCACTATGAACGCCTTTCTACGTTAGGGCCCCACATACACAGCAAGTTAAGTTCCGTGCTACTGCTGTACGTGCTATTCAATTTTGCAAGTACTATTTTTCAATCGCCTTTGCAAAAAATTGCACTACATTGAAGAGGTTTATAAATGAGCTTACTGTATTAGTTAACCCGTAAACGGTCCAAACGTATATATACGTTTTTTCAACATTTGAAAGTATGTAAAAAAAAGTAGATCTTCTTTTTGTTTTTTTACATTTGAAAATGTGTAAAAAAAACTTTGATCTACTTTTTTTTTTTTTGTTATATTTGAAAATATGTAAAAAAAAACATAGATCTACTTTTGTAGCGCTACACATGTGAACGTAGATCTGCTTGCACCGTTTACAGGTTAAATACACAAATAACACGCACATAGAAGAAAACTTATGACAGCATTTCAGTCCAACTTGGTATCAAGCCAGACCGAAATGCCGTAAGTTTGTCACCTATGTGCGTGTTATTTGTGTATTATTCCAGTTACCATCTTGCTTTTTTATTCTTTTCATATTAAGTATTTAGAAAATGAGTTCACTATGTATTTCCATAAAGTCTGCAAATTAGTCCTACAGCGAGGATAATATACAAGGGTTTAGAGGTCCAAGTATGTCAACTTTATGTGTTGACGACGGAGGAAAGTGATATTTGGTTTACAAACCTCTTGAGGGTCCTGAAATTATTATGTAATAGGGTAGAGTTGTACAGTGGACCCCCGGTTAACGATATTTTTTCACTCCAGAAGTATGTTCAGGTGCCAGTACTGACCGAATTTGTTCCCATAAGGAATATTGTGAAGTAGATTAGTCCATTTCAGACCCCCAAACATACACGTACAAACGCACTTACTTAAATACACTTACATAATTGGTCGCATTCGGAGGTAATCGTTATGCGGGGGTCCACTGTATTTTCATTTCTGTATCGACCGTTTCCCTGCAAGGTCACCTGACGCAAAGAAAACACATTCACCAGGTGTAACATCCTCACTTATTGTTCAGAGTACATTTGTGGAGGCCTGGTCAACGGCTGGGCCACGGGGGCGTTGACCCCCGAAACCCTCTCCAGGTATACTCCAGGTATGTATAGGGCCAGATTAAGGCATGGGCTTTAGGGGCTGCAGCTCAGGGTCCTCCACCAGCTGGAGAGCCTCCAGAGATTAAGTGAAAAGTGTTGACAGTTACTGTCGTAAGTTTATAATTATTGTAAGTTATGACATCACTTATATGATGAAATCTTGACTCTCGATTTTATTTTTCCTTTTGAAAATATTGCTGGGGGCCTCACAGTACCTGCAGCCCAGGGGCCTCACAGTACCTGCAGCCCAGGGGCCTCACAGTACCTGTCAGCCCAGGGCCTCACAGTACCTCAGCCCAGGGGCCTCACAGTACCTGCAGCCCAGGGCCTCACAGTACCTGCAGCCCAGGGGCCTCACAGTACCTGCAGCCCAGGGGCCTCACAGTACCTGCAGCCCAGGGGCCTCACAGTACCTGCAGCCCAGGGGCCTCACAGTGCTTCACAGCATCTGCAGCCCAGGGGCCTCACAGTACCTGTAGCCCAGGGGCCTCACAGTACCTGCAGCCCAGGGGCCTCACAGTACCTGCAGCCCAGGGGCCTCACAGTACCTGCAGCCCAGGGGCCTCACACTACCTGTAGCCCAGGGACCTCACAGTACCTGTAGCCCAGGGACCTCACAGCACCTGCAGCCCAGGGGCCTCACAGCACCTGCAGCCCAGGGGCTCACAGCACCTGTAGCCCAGGGGCCTCACAGTACCTGCAGCCCAGGGACCTCACAGTACCTGTAGCCCAGGGGCTTACAAAATCTTAGTCCAGCTTTGCACGTGTGTCTTAATCATCGATGTTTAGAGTGCATGCATCATGCTTCCTACCTCGCAAAACTTGCGTCTGGCTGACCAATTTCGCTGAATCCCTATGTAAACGTTACTGTGTTTACACTCGACTGCACATCATTGTACAATTTGAACTCGGTTGAAGTCATAATGAATGATTGTCAATGAATACACAGAAAGGCGGACAGGAGACTCAAACTATAGTCACGAGATTAACAGGTCTGGTTCTTTACCGCGGTATAGTGTTGGACCTGTTAGTCTCAGGACCATAATCCAGGACTCCTGTCCACCTTTCTGTGCATTCATTGCACGGTATATTCACAAGTGCTAAAATCCTCTTGCAGTTTACACCAATGCCCTGGTCTTGGACCTGGCCATGGGGGGAGCAGTGACCCTTGAAAAAAAATTCCCTATATGAAGGGGCTTTATAAGACCTATTTGTGAAAGTATTTTCCAGAAAGGATAAAAAACCACAATGCCGTGACTGACAAAAGCAGAAATAACCCCCATATGGAGGAATAAAACTCGTGTTGACATTTCAGTCGATCACTAGTGTGGCTGGTTAATGGTCCAGGTGGGTCTGAAACGTCGTCTTAAGTTTAATTCTCCTGTGCACGGGTTATTTGTGAATTATTTTCCGCTCCAGTCGTTTTAGAGTGTTGTGATGCTGGTAAAGAGTTCTTGGTGAGAGGTATTGGATGCACCTAACCCTTTCTTAGCTCAGATCCGATTGCCTCCCAGACGCTGTACGGCTCCTATGGGGTTAGATCTTCCACATGAACATTGAAAACTTACCAGCGAAAATAGAAAATAAAACCTAAGTGCTTTCATGTGTGTGCTTACACATCTTCACACACACACACACACACACACACACACACACATCCGCAGATGTGTGTAAGCACATGAAAATGCTCAAATTTTATTTCCTATTTTATTTCACCATTCTCCTGTGTATGGACTGATGAAGCCACTGTGTGGCGAAACGTTTCCTCATTAAAGATACCCAAGTGTTGCACATGTGTCTAATTTATCGACTTGATGGTTTTCTAAACCATTCATCTACATTTTCTATTTTCACTGGTATTTTTTTCATATTTTCAATCACGTGATTTATTGTGATTTTTTTTCCATGAATAAAGATACAGTAACTGGATTGAACACTTAGTTTTGATTGTAATAATAATAACGCTAATAATAAATACAATAACCCTTCGGTATAACGGACTTTTAAAATTATAGACGGAATCCACTGTTAACTCCTTTATTTTCTGAGCTGCTTTTGTTATAGTGGTATCTCGAATTTCGGCCAAAATTCGTTCAAGAAGGCCGAGTCCCGTTACCAAATGAATTTGTTCCCATAAGGAATAATGTAAATTAGATTAGTCCATTTTAGATCCCCAAAAATACACTTACATAATTGTTCGAGTTGGGAGCTGTTCGAAATTTGAGGTACTACCACTGTATTTTAACATTCTGACAAAATACACTCGGACAATCCCTCCAACTAGTATTCAGCGGCAGTATAGCACTGTTATTATTAGCTTTAACTCTCATGGCACATTTTCAGTTTGACCTTTTACTGACATAAAAGGTTGATTAGGGCACATAAAATAATGATTCCCATGAAGTAGTCACGGTGTTCATATTCACACTGTTCGAATCATATTTAATCTTTTTTTGCACATGATTTGAAAAGTCTTGGGGAAAGCTAGCATTAATTTCGCACTAAGTTGAAATTTGCACTATTTAAACTCGTGTTAATTGAGACTTTGTGTACAATAAGTCCTTGGCTTACGAACATATTGAGATTCTTCTGTATTGTGTATATCATTATTGTGTATATCATAATACAGTGGACCCCCGCTTAACGATCACCTCCAAATGCGACCAATTATGTAAGTGTATTTATGTAAGTGCGTTTGTACGTGTATGTTTGGGGGTCTGAAATGGACTAATCTACTTCACAATATTCCTTATGGGAAAAAATTCGGTCAGTACTGGCACCTGAACATACTACTGGAATGAAAAAAGTTCGTTAACCGGGGGTCCACTGTATTATTGTGTATATTATTATTATTATACAATACAAAGGGTCCCCAACATGTTCATACATCGAAGACTTTCTGTGTTATGAATATTATACATGATACTGAATAGTATTCTCAGTGTGTTTGTAAGTCGAGACCTTACTGTATTTTTTATTTTATAAAGTAAAATCGGCAGTTTCGGTCATTATGTACTAGGTCATGTAACAAGTCTTTGACTCCTGCTGCAGTTACGTTCTCTAAAGCACAGTGTTGACCAGAATTAATGTTTTGCAGAATTTGTGGCCATCAAACAAAATCCCACACTTAGGGGACGAACCTTATAAACACCTACCATCCGACTTACGACCAAGTTCGGTTCCGAGAAACCGGTCGTAAGTCGAAATGGACGTAAGTTGAACTTTACTACTGAATATCAACAAAACATTTTTGTAATGACTTTATTGTTTTATTTTGGTATTTCATGTTTTACTTTACTTTTTATGTTGTTAGTACTGTGTTTTATACTGTAAGGTTTAGGATAAACACTGTGTACAACACAAATACTTGTTTATTTCTCAGAAATTTGGCATAATAAACACGGTTGTAAGTCGAATGGTTGTAAGTCTAGCAGGTCATAAGTCGGATGGTAGGTGTATTTCGGTCCACTCTGGACCACTGTCAAGTCCCAGCTGGGGCAAGAAGAGTAGACAAGACCCTGTATCACATTGTCTTCTGACCTTCTCTATTTTCCCTGCCCTAGTTGTGGCCTGACAATGGTTCGGGATGGGCCATAACAATATCATAACATTCCTCTGCTAAAAACAATCAAACTACAGAATGGTCGGGGTTTTGAACCCGTGATAAGCGAGTTCTAAAACTCCAGGCCGGTGCGTGGTTTACCTGGAGTTTACCTGGAGAGAGTTCCGGGCGTCAACGCCCCCGCGGCCCGGTCTGTGACCGGGCCTCCTGGTGGATCAGAGCCTGATCAACCAGGCTGTTGCTGCTGGCTGCACGCAAACCAACGTACGAGCCACAGCCCGGCTGGTCAGGAACTGACTTTAGGTGCTTGTCCAGTGCCAGCTTGAAGACTGCCAGGGGTCTGTTGGTAATCCCCCTTATGTGTGCTGGGAGGCAGTTGAACAGTCTCGGGCCCCTGACACTTATTGTATGGTCTCTTAACGGGCTAGTGACACCCCTGCTTTTCATTGGGGGATGGTGCATCGTCTGCCAAGTCTTTTGCTTTCGTAGCGAGTGATTTTCGTGTGCAAGTTCGGTACTAGTCCCTCTAGGATTTTCCAGGTGTATATAATCATGTATCTCTCCCGCCTGCGTTCCAGGGAATACAGGTTTAGGAACCTCAAGCGCTCCAAGTAATTGAGGTGTTTTATCTCCGTTATGAGCGCCGTGAAGGTTCTCTGTACATTTTCTAGGTCAGCAATTTCACCTGCCTTGAAAGGTGCTGTTAGTGTGCAGCAATATTCCAGCCTAGATAGAACAAGTGACCTGAAGAGTGTCATCATGGGCTTGGCCTCCCTAGTTTTGAAGGTTCTCATTATCCATCCTGTCATTTTTCTAGCAGATGTGATTGATACAATGTTATGGTCCTTGAAGGTGAGATCCTCCGACATGATCACTCCCAGGTCTTTGACGTTGGTGTACTCTGATGAAGATTTAATTTCCTACTGTTTACCATATCTGAGTAATTGAAATTTCTCATCGTTGAACTTCATATTGTTTTCTGCAGCCCAATGAAAGATTTGGTTGATGTCCGCCTGGAGCCTTGCAGTGTCTGCAGTGGAAGACACTGTCATGCAGATTCGGGTGTCATCTGCAAAGGAAGACACGGTGCTGTGGCTGACATCCTTGTCTATGTCGGATATGAGGATGAGGAACAAGATGGGAGCGAGTACTGTGCCTTGTGGAACAGAGCTTTTCACCGTGGCTGCCTCAGACTTTACTCTTTTGACGACTACTCTCTGTGTTCTGTTTGTGAGGAAATTATAGATCCATCGACCGACTTTTCCTGTTATTCCTTTAGCACGCATTTTCTGCGCTATTACGCCATGGTCACACTTGTCGAAGGCTTTTGCAAAGTCTGTATATATTACATCTGCATTCTTTTTATCTTCTAGTGCATTTAGGACCTTGTCGTAGTGATCCAATAGTTGAGACAGACAGGAGCGACCTGTTCTAAACCCATGTTGCTCGGGGTTGGGTGTAACTGATGGGTTTTCTAGATGGGTGGTGATCTTGCTTCTTAGGACCCTTTTAAAGATTTTTATGATATGGGATGTTAGTGCTATTGGTCTGTAGTTCTTTGCTGTTGCTTTACTGCCCCCTTTGTGGAGTGGGGCTATGTCT